ATTATGCAAAGCCGAGTAGGGCTTCGTTGTCAAGTGGACAAGTAATGGGACTTTTATTGTGTAGGGGTGAAATTGGATAAGTGGGGTCCTTAACCTTTTATCGTGATTCTTTCTGCCTCATAGAGTTTTCATTTTCAGGTTAGCCTCTAACTTGTTAGTTATTGTAATTAGGTCCCCACTTCCATTCAAACCATCAATATTGACATAATTATTCATTTTATTGTATGTACACCACCTATATTTGTATTCAATTGTTCATGGGTAATATCTTTGTTTTTAAGCATATATGATAATAAGTTATATAAAAGATGATATATCAGTTTCTTTTCTTTTTTTCTTTTTTTCTTCAAATTTCTTTCTACTTAAATTAAAGTTTAAATTTGACATTTCTATGTTAGAACCTCAAACTCTTAATTAATTGAGTTACTTTCTTGAAGACTTATAGGCAATTTCTTTATTTGATCATTTATGTTAATAGAAAAAACAAAATGGTCTTTTTTTTTCTTTTCTAGTTTTTGGTGAATAACACTTAAAAATATCAATTCAAGGATAAAAAAGATAAAAATGTCATTAATGAATCTTTATGCATCTCTAATTCATTAAGGGTGTTTATTTTTATTAATCCCATTGATGTTTTTAAGTATATAGCAAATTTAAAAAAAAAACAAACAAACAAACAAACAAAACATTTTTATAAAAAATATTTTATGTGAAGCAATTTAGCTACACATTTCAAGAGAATAATTTTTTTTTATCAAAAAGAATATCATTGATTCATTATAAAATTTATAAATTATTTTACTAAACTAATTCGTAAAGAAGAGGTTAGATTAGAGAGTCATTCTGCTATCATTTCATTTCACTAATGATTTGTTAGTCTAAATAGAAGGAGTTCGATTTCCCTTAAATAAAGTTTTAAGTTCGAATCTTGTGAATAGATAAACATATGTTAAAAAAAAATTTCTCTTAATGGGATCGACGCAGCTCGATTCCAGATTAATTAGAATTCAACATGATTATCAGATACCGAGTTATTTATACAAAAATTATCATTTCATTTCCATTTTTTCCCTTCGTACAAAGTTAAATCTTTCTTATCATATAATCTATTTCACCCATATATCATATCATATAACTAAAATTTAGAATTTTTATTTTTACTGAAAAAAAATTAACATTGATTTAGTTAGATTGTTAGCACAAATCTTAAAGAGTTAAAAGATAGAATTGTGATGGCCAAAAAAGAGAAATGGAATGATTGCCATCGTGAAGAGGTAGTGGACCTAATGGGACTTCATTCGAAAAGTCGGAGATCACCCAAACAATTACCCTTTATTTAAAATAGAGAAGAATGAAAGCTTCCACAATTTATGCGGCCGAAGTTTGCTCCCCCCCCTCCATGATCCCGTAACAACAACACATACACATTCCTAATTTCCATCGGAAATGTCAAAACAAATCCTCTTTTCTTTCCATGTTGAATCCAAAATCTTCTATCTTTTTCTCCTTATTGCCTTTCATGTCTAAATGATTTTTCCCCTGAGGCACACCAACTTTTCTGAGTTTTGTTTGGAGTAAAGATAGGAGAGAAAAGTGAAAATGTTGCATAGAGCTGCGAGCAATGCGTATTCATGGTGGTTGGCCAGCCACATCAGAACAAAGCAATCAAAATGGCTGGAACAAAACCTTCAAGGTAGTTCCTTTTTCCCTCTTTTAGACTTGATCATTTCTAAGTTTTGCATAATTTTAATGGGTTTTGGATGAATTGATAAAATATACTGCATTGTAGAGAAGATTGAAATTGGATTTAGACCATCTGATAGCTTACAATTTCTGGGTTTTGTATCATTTAATCTGATTATGTTTGCTTCCCACTTTTTGAAAGGATGCTAGCTGAATTTAAAATTTAGAATTTACATTCATTTTCTTCCTCTTTCTATTTATGTGTATAATTTGGATCATTTTCTGTGATTCTATTTAATGGGTTTGGCATCCTGTTTTGTTGATTAAGTAGAACTAATGGAACATGTTTTTATTATTGATCTTTTCTAGTTTTCATCAAGATGAAAGTTATAGCATTGAGTAAAGAATCTTTGCATTTAAAAAAGAAAAAAATGTATCAAACTTGTTTCTATTGATTTTACAAATACATAATGTTGTTACAGATATGGAGGAAAAGGTGGCAAGTGTGCTTAAACTCATTGAAGAAGATGGAGACTCCTTCCGCAAGAGGGCAGAAATGTATTATAAGAAGAGGCCAGAACTGATAAACTTTGTTGAAGAATCTTACCGGGCTTATCGTGCCTTGGCTGAAAGGTATGACCACATTTCAACAGAGTTGCAAAATGCCAACAACACCCTTGCTTCCTGTTTTCCAGATCAAGTTCCTTTTATGGATGATGATGATGATGATGCCTCACCAAGGTTCCCAAAGAAGCCTCCAGAAATGCCAAAATCAAGTAATATCCCCAACGTTCCAAAGGGTAAACCTAAAGATTTTAAAGGCCTTATAACTTCGGCCACAAGGAAACTGCAGCCTGATAAGTTATCAAAGGCAGCAACTGATCTTGCAGCTGCTAAATCTGGCATGAGTAAGGATGAAGGGCTTGCGAAAATTGATAAGCTTCAAAAACGGATCCTAGCTTTGCAAACGGAGAAGGAGTTTATTAAGAGTTCTTATGAAAGTGGACTGGCAAGATACTGGGACACTGACAAAGAAATTGTACAAATGCAAAACAAGATTTGCAACTTGCAAGATGAATTTGGTGCAGGTAATGTCATTGAAGATGATGAAGCTCGGACCTTGATGGCAGAAGCAGCTCTGAAATCATGTGAACAGACATTAGCCCAGCTTCAGGAGAAACAGGAAAGATCAGCTGAGGAAGCAGAAGTGGAACGCAAAAGGATAAAGGATGCTTGGCAAAAGGTGAGGTCTATAAAGCAAGAGTTTCTCCCAAATGAAGTCAGTGAGGAAATGCAACCTGAAGAAGATAAACCAGTGAAAGCACAAGAGAAAGCAGAAAGATCAAAGCAAGAGGTGAATGGAGTCAGTCAGGACAGGAGGGACTTAGAGATGTTGCAAGAGAAGATAAAGGAACACTTTGAGGATGAGTTTAGTGAAAATCCTGCTGTGTCAGAGATGGCGGAGAAAATTGATGAACTTGTGAACAAGGTGGTTAGCTTAGAAACTGCAATCTCATCACAGACAGCCCTTATTCAGAGACTAAGAACAGAAAGCGATGAGCTTCAAGTCCATATCCAGGCCTTGGAGGATGATAAGGCCACCCTTATTGATGATAAAGACAATTTGAGAAAGAAGTTGAAGGAAATGGAGGCAAAGTTGCGCAACCTGCAGGATCTAAACAAGAATCTTGAAGACAAAAATAACTATCTCCAAACCAATTTTAGTGAAGCACAATGCAGTCTCGAGCACTTGACTGAGAAACTGCACAGCTTGAAGCTCGATATGGAACTTGAAGTCACAGTTTCATCAACAGGAAATAAGAGCTCTCAAGAGGAAGCCAAATCAAAGAAGGAAATGATTCCTAGTGATGGTTTCAAGAAGCCAAAGAGTGTGAAATTAGATGAGGAGCTTAAGGTTTTGGGTTCGTCACAACAGGAGAATCCTCCAGCTGAATCCAAATCCCAGGAAGAGTTTGATGAACAAGAACATGTGAAAAAGAATCCTAGCGATGCAAACAAGAGTGTGCAAGTTGTAAAAGCAGAGGAGGTACCCAAGGTCCCAATTGAAGCCATGTCCCAGAAAGATGAGCAAGAAAGTGAAAAGAAGCCTGGTGATGGCCATGGGAAGGTGCAAGTTTTGAAGGCAGAAGAGGAACTCAAGGTTCCAGCTGCAGTCAAATCTAAGGTTGTGAATGCAGAGGAGGGGCTTAAATTCCCAGTTGAAGCCAAATCTCAGAAAGAGTTTGATGGGCAAGAACAAGCAAAGAATCCTAGTGATGGAAGCGACAAAGTGAAGGTTTCGAAGGCAGAGGATGAGGTCAAGGTCACAGGTTCATCAAAAAAAGAGAAGGAATCACTGGTAAAAGTTGGATCAGCAAAAGGAATTGAAGTCCAAGAAGGAAAACTTAATCAAGATGATGTCTCAACAAAGGGGGTGGATGTCAAGATGGAAGAGAGGAAGAATACAACTAGTAGAAGTGAAGGAGGTGCACATGAAGAACTTGATAAGCCTTCAGAGAAATATCAAGAATCAGAGCAACTGGCAACAATGGAAAATGATGAGCCGGATTGGAAGCAGATGTTCCTAAATGGTATTGAAGAAAGGGAAAAGACAATATTAGGAAAGTACACATCAGTTCTTCGAAACTTTAAGGAGACAAAGAAAAAGCTTAGTGAACTAGAGTCCAGTAACCAGAACAGCATATTTGAGTTGACTTTGAGGCTAAAAGATCTGAAGAGTAAGAATGTCATGAAAGATGAAGAGATTCGATCTTTACGTCAAAAGCTGAGCCTTTTTCAGGCAGGTGTTAGTGAAAACAATCATTCTGACTACCATCAGTTCATGGATGGCCAACCAACTGAACTTGCTGTGACTTCTGAGAAATCTGTGGTTGAAACCATAATAACTTTACCGGGAGAGAAAGAAGAAAAAGAAGAAATCAAGGTGATATTTATTGACCAGCCTCAGTCCATTTCACCGATTGAAGAAAAATTCAGGATGAGCATTGATGGGCTCCTAGAGGAGAACTTGGATTTCTGGTTAAGGTTTAGCATTTCATTCGGTCAGATACATAATTATGAAACCTCAGTGAAGGATTTACTATTTGAGATATCGAAACTTGAGGAAAGACATAAACAAGATGGAAGTAGCACCTCAAAATACTCTTTGAAATCAGATGTACGGCCAATATACAAACATCTGAGAGAAATACAAACTGAGCTAACCGTCTGGTTAGAAAAGAGTGTACTACTAAAAGAGGAACTCAAGAACCGGTTCTCCTCTTTGTGTGAGATTCAAGAAGAAATCACAAAAGCTTTGAAGGACAGTGCTGAAGATGATGACTTCAAGTTCACAAGTTACCAAGCAGCAAAGTTCCAAGGTGAGGTTCTTAATATGAAACAAGAGAATAACAAGGTTGCAGATGAATTGCAGGCAGGTTTAGATCATATAGCAACCCTGCAGCTTGAAGTTGAGAGGACTCTGGCAAAGTTGAATGAAGACTTTGGGCTAGCTGGCTCAAAGAATCGTCCTGGCTCTGGCCAACTGCAACACTCACATAGCCAGTCTCGAGTTCCTTTAAGGTCGTTTATCTTTGGTGTCAAACCTAAAAAGCCAAAGAATTCCCTCTTTGCACTAAATAAGAAGTACAATGGATTCAAATCTGGATCTAAATAGGTACAATTGTTTTAACAGTGCTTGGCAGTTCATACCATATTTTTCTTCTGAGTTTTTTGTTGTTTGCTTTAGTGACATATACTTTGGCCGAAAACAAAGCATTTCTCTCTCATTTTATTCTTGAAACTGGGGGAAATGTATGTTTTCTTTATATTGTAGATGATTTATAGCTATCAGAATGATAAGAATACATTTTGTTAATTTGCATCCTTCATTTTTTTTTTTTTAGATGAATCAAAATGCATCCTTCCTTTTATTTAATACTGCATTTCAGGGCATTATCACGTTTTAAATTATATATTGTATGTCCTTTTGATTTGAATGCGGATTTCCTAATTACAGCCTCCTATTCTGGAGAAAACCTCTCAATAGAACTCCAATCTCTGCCGTGCACATACATAAAAGAAATCATGTTTGCAGCAATTTTCTGTATTCAGTTGAAATGACATATTAAAGGTTCAGAATTACGAGGTAAAAACTGTAGCAATAGCTTAATTATCCCCTTTTTTTCAATAAGTGAAAACTTTATTATTACTAAAGTACAAAGGGGTACTCTCACTCATTAACACCCTATTTACATATGCCTAAAAGCCTGGATATCACAACCCTACAAAAGACACGACCACTCACTCCTTAGATCATAAGAATTTAGCACACAAAGCAGGGGCAGTACCCCATTGATGAAACATAAGCTTAATTATCCGTTGCTTAGAAGGATTTACAGCATTTTTTATTCGATCTTATTAGCAAACAACAAAGTCCGATGTCTTGAGATTACTCCACAGCTGTGACCCACATCAAGCCTTACTGGAAATTATGAATGCCTTCCGGACATGTTTCTATGGTGCAGCAAATGACACCTCTGATACCACCCTTGCTCCCCTTCCCTTGGCTTGGTATAGGCCTATGTGATGCATCAGATCCTGTCATGGAGAGACATTCCAAAAAAATAAATAATAATAATAATAATAAAATCAATAAGCATGTGATTGTTTCTTTAAGTAAAAAAAGACAGAATTTAAGAAAAGAATAACAGGGAGAAGTTGTGTATTTATGTCCTCATGTGTTTGTCTGTTTGTTTTTAGGTATCTACTTGTTGATGTGGGGAGCTCTCTCCAGAGATTCACACTTGTATATCTATATACTTTTCATATTTCTCTTTCCGCAATAGTTTTCTTATTCAATTCAATACTAAATTACCAAACATAGTGACCCAAGCTTCTTAAGTACCTGAGGATGTGGCAGAGCACCTTTGATAGTTCTGGCAACATGAACAGGTAGATCATAAGTTGCACAAGCACGAGAATACACAATGACATCCTGAAGAGGGGCAAGAAAACCACGATTTCTAGCAGATAGCGCAGAACATACAAAATCCAACACACATACATCTGTGCATATCCCTACGACCAGAACCTAAAACCAGAAAGGCAGCACAGATTAGAGAGAACATAAAATAAACCAATTACCACAAAGTACTCACAGCTTTTATCTGATTATCTTTCACCCAATTTACAAAAACATTGGAACCATCTTTCTCAATTGAACCGAGAAACCCATCAATGCAATCTTTGCACTTAAGGGTTGCATTGGGCTCATTCTCTAGCCATTGCAGTGCTACAAGTGAGAGCCAGAAAAGCAGAATAAGAGGAACATTAAACATATGCTTGATACTAATGAAACAAAAATTGAGTCCATAAAGAATAGTAACCTACCAGGAACCAATTTTGCTTCGTCAGTTCCAGCAATGCAATGAGGTGGATAGGGTGGCTCTGGGACATCTGGATGATGTGTATCAAGGAAAGCAAAGACAGGCCAGTTCTTCTCAGAAAACAGTTTGGCTAACCTAGCAGACTCTTCAACCATTTCGGATATTTGTTGATTAGGCTGCACTGGAGCCTATACAAACAATAATCCAACTTAACATTCGTCCATTCCATACAGACAACAGGATTATAAACAAAAAGGATTCTTCATCATCATCATCATCATCATCAACAACAACAACAGAATTTCCAGAGTCCATATATAAGGAACAAAGATGTACTTCAATCACCATAGCAGATATATAAATCAAACTAACAGAATCTATGAAAGGATGAGAATAAAAAAAAAAGTTGAAAAAAATTCAATCGAAGTGCAATATGCTTTTATGTTTAAGAATTAAAAGAAAATGAAGTAAAACATAAACGATATATACGCTAAAACGAAGGGGAAAGAAAGAAAGAAACGAGAAACAACAAGGTGGTTTGTGGAAGTACCAAATTACCGGCGCCGACTGTGCAGAAGCCATTAACGACGTCAACGAGCACGAGACCGGTCTTAACATCTTCAGTGATTAGCAGAGAGTCTGGTTCCACCGGAATCTGATCCTTTAACAGATCCATCTTGCACTTGTTCGTCGGTTAAGGAATCGGAATGGAAGGGGAGGAAGAGGACGCAGTATTGGCGCGATGGAGAGTGGAAGGAGACAAGGCGAAACTGAGATCGAATTAGGCGCTTAACTCTACATGTGGTTGGTAGTACAGGGACCAAAAAGTCAAAAGATTCATCTTTCCAAACAAGTAACCTTTGAAATTTAATGTAATAATGGATTTATTTAACTGTATCCTTGCGTAGGATAAGGTATAATTAATATATTTTTTTAATAATAATTAATATAAAAAAATTAACATTAATTTTATTATTAATATTATATGTATTATTTTAATTATATAATTAATTTAAATAAATATTAAATTTTGTTTTTTTAATAATAATTAATACTAAAAAATATTCTTAACCTTTGCCAAACGCAAAGAAGAATTCATCCCTTCTCACAAGTTGTTAATCGGAATTTGGTGGTGGGTTGACTTGAGTTGGGACTTGTTCTTGGGTGGCATCGGTTCGGTTTGATTGAGCAACCGAAATATTTAACTGTTGGGTTCCCTAAGATTAAAATATATATATATATATTTTGGGTTCAC